CGGAAGGATGTCTCATGGGGCGCTATGGCCGTTGCCGCCGACGTACGACGAGGCGATAGCCGTAGAAGCATGACGGCGCCATGGCCTATCGCTCATGATGCGATGCGTAGGAATGTCGAAAAGGTGTACCAGACTCTTTGCGCCCAGCGGTATGGTATTTCCTCTGCACTTCCGAGCGCGAGACGTCGCCAGCCAAGATCGAAGCAACGTACGCCGCCGCGACAAAAGAGGTTTTTGGGCCAATCCTGCCCACATCCGTTGCTGCCGTAGGCATAGTATCGAAACTGTTTTGAGGCTCACATATCGCAGGCGCCGATGTTTGGCAAGCCGTCCTCCTCGCACGTCACGTTGGAGCTGATTCCGGCGCTGGCCGTCGCCCACAGCCGGCTTTCCATCGTACTACATCGACTCCATGGCGTGGATCATTGTACGATGCCCTCTTTCACCAGTTTTCACATTTTGAATAGGCCGTATACTGCCGGAACTCATGCGCTTGTGTCTCCTCGTCAACATTACGGAAGCGCATATATACTGCATGATGCGGGTAGGGTTGTATGACCTGTATACATGTATTCGACATTTTATACCGGTACTCCTTCGTTTAGAGCTTGTTGCAACGCAGTCGCCCCAAAGATGAGTGGAAGCTACCGACTTCGCCCGCCCACGAGTTGGCTGTGATCGGTCATCTAAAGGACACGGTGGCGTGGCGTTACCCACTGCTCGCGACCGCGATGCAACGTCAAGGCGCATGGGATGACTCGTACTTTGCCGACACAATTCACAACTTCTTCGTCCTATATGTTTCGCTGCCGGTAGGCCGGCACATGTGATGCCGCAATTAATTAAGGATAGGTCGCTCTCCAGATTGCGGACGCCTACCTCGGCGAGGGGCCCAAGGTGCGCTTTCCTCATGGTGGCATTTTATCGATTCGTATTTAGATTCACTGCCGCTTTCTTATGGCACTGCTGAAGCTCCACAAAGTGCCCATGGCGGCTGAGATAACGGCCTCAGGCGCGTACGTTAACCCTGTCATTTCAGCCTCGTGCTGAGGAAGAGATGCGTAGTGCATGGTGGGCGCTGCTGGCAACGCGCACCCGGGCGAATTCGATGGCCGAAATTTCAGCTGTCGCCTATCGAAAGTGGTATGGGTACCTCTTTCGCCGTCAGAACTTTGAGTCGCGGCTTGCGTCAACGCCGTCGGCGTACGTTGGTGTACCGACGCTTGACGAGTACGGAGCTCCACTGCCTCTTGTTGTCGATACGTCGGCGCCACCGATGCTGCTTCACGCAACACGTGACTCTATCTTGTCGACGTGGCTGCCTGCGACCGAGCAGCTGAAGCAGCTGCAACGTTGCTACTGCGCAATCCAACACGGCCGAGGCCTCGACACGTTGTATCGCTACTGTGCCAACATCTCACCGCTAGTCGTCGTGCTCCAAGTTCTCGGCTGTGATCAAGTCATTGTTGCATACCTCTCGCACGGTGTGGGTCCGCGTGACCAGCTCTTCGGGGACAAAAGATGCTTTGTCGCATCGCTTGCTCCCGCCATGAAGTACGCGGCCACTGGAACGGGCGCCAAGTTCGTAATGTGCCAGCCGTCTCTTCTTGCCATCGGTATCGACAGCAAAAGCAGTGCCGCAGCTCTGGAGATCGATGAAGGTCTCGTGCGCGGCCGAAGTCAGGCAACTGATGTCTTTAGCAACCCCCCACTTGGCGGCGCGGAAGAATTTGACGTCGGCGACATTGAAGCGTACAAGTTTGTTCTCTAGTGATTTGTATCTGAGCTTAAATCGCACAAATATTTGGTTCCAAAACGTTAATGTTTTTTTTGCTGGTTGAGCGCAGGGCTGGGTAGGGTAGCATCAGTGATTATACAAAGTCCAATCCATATAGAGTCGAGCCACTTGCTCTTGCGTTGCAACTCTACGTCATCTTCCTCGCGACGGTAAGGCCATCGACCCTGCATCGCGTACTGGTACATCGCAATGGAAGTGTTCGACGATAACCCAGCGTTCATGTTCTACCACACAAAAGGCGGCGATAACTTCAAAAATTGGTGGCCAACCTGGTGGCCAATCAGGGAAGAGCCTTACGGCCACTCCTTTAGCGAAAGAAAGTTTGTAAATGGTAAAATCGTAGGCATATATTTATGAAGACGTAGTGCACATGACTGTCCGGTCCGTCTCGTCGAGAACTTGGTCGTAAATGATGTTTTTGGTGTATGAGCGACCGTCGGCATTGGATTTGGAGTCGAGAGCCAAGATCCGGATATTGACCGACACGTGACATTGCAACATAGAGCTGCCCGATTACAAAAACGGACTCCAAAAGGTAAACGCCAATGCGAGGGACCGTCTGGCCTTGGACTTAATAGCGATCGCAAATGCGAGACAAAAAGGGAACTGTAGACGCTTGAGCTGAAACGGCAGCGTGTTGACCGTCGTTGATAAGCGTGACGCAAGTTATGAAGACGACCTCGCCACCTTGCGCGCTGGTCAATACTCTAGTCTGAATGGATTGATCTTGAAGTGCACATCAAGACGCTTGAGTTGGAACGGCAGCGGGTTTGTGCAGACTGTCATTGACAAGCCTAATGCAAGATATGAAGGCGACCTCGCAAGAAAGCTTGCGCTCCGGTCAACATTGTATGCAGCCTTCATGCATCGATCTCGCAAAGCGCGCACCATGAGCCGAATTCCACTGCATAAGCCTCATCTTGTGCACAGGTTGCGCAAGAGCATGATTGTTGCGTTGATCCTGAGTTCGAGACGGTGAGGTTGGAAGCCGGCGATGTTGATGGAGGTGAGAAACTCAACTGGAAAGTTGATTGCTGCTTCTTCTTGCAGAAGATCGGCGTCGTCGTTCCGTGTAGCCAGTGTTGCTAATAACGCGCATGTTCGTGGATAGGTGGACGGTAGTAACGTCACCCCATGCATTGCTCCGCTTCAAGCACGCATCGACCAATTCCTGACGCGACGCATGTGGAATGACGGGCAAAGTTTGTTTGAGAAGAGAAAGGTATTGCCGCCGAGATAACGAAACAGCTCGAAGCAAATGTCTCGCAGCATCGATCGACGGCGTCAATTGCGTTGTTGTGGATCATCGAGCTCTCGTCCCAGACGAAAAAACCCGCCGCGCGTAATAGAACAGCGAGGTGGCTTTGCTTCCTCACACCAAGAATAGTGTTGGAGTTGGCGGCCATACGAATCTTGAACTGCGAGTGGGCGGTGGTAACACCTTGGAGCGTGAGCGCTGCAAGGCCTGTAAATGCAACAGCAATTGCGGCACGTTCGTTGGAGCGACACTATGCAAGCAGGAAGTTTGCATATTAACTTTTTCCCGAGCCACCTTCGCCACACAAAAAGAAGTGACGTCTCAGATGGCAAGGAGCATACGGCGTCAAAAACAGCGCGATGTTCCTGGTTGGCTGTAGCGAGGCTCTCTACAGTATTCCAGTAGAACATCGCGAGCGTAGGATCGCTCGATCACAATCAAACGGTTGCGCGTAGGATCGAAAACGTCAGTGTCTAAGACCTCGCGATAAGCATGGAGCCGCGGCATTGTAGGAAACCGAGGGATAAACCTAGGTAGGCGGCGTGAGTGCAAGAGAGTATCTATGTCGCATAAAGCACGGGCGACAGGTAGTCGACGGTCACCATTAGCTAGAAGCGGCGCTGCGTAGTCCTCGCAAAGAGCCTGTGAAAATTCGTCTCACAAAGCACGTGGATTGGAGGGGTTCACAAAGACTAACAGCGTGACAAAGAGTTCCCGAAGCTGACGTTGCATATGGCTCAATGAACAATCAAGCATGCAGCGACGCCACTCGTCATCAGAAGCAAGAAGACTGAGGGCCTGACACGCTTTCTTGTAAGTGGTGTGAAATATACCGCCAACGGTGCGGAGATCTGCGTAGGACCTAGTACCACGATGATAAACACGGGCGGTCGAATGTAGTATCACTCGCCTTACTTGGGAGATACGGAGTACACACTGTCAAGAGCACGGATTTCTTGCCGTGCACTAAGTGTAGTAGTGGCAGATATCGCCATAGAGCGTTCTCGGGGATACGCCATTAGCGTCGGGAATAGTCAAGTCAAAGTGCGAAACGGCCATGGACGTCGTACGTTGGCTGCCAAGACTTGGAGCCGCAGTGTCGTCAGTAGCGTCAGGGACAAAACTCACTGCTTGCTTGCCCTCTTCATGGACAGTAAGCCGCTTGATTATATGCGAGGACCGCATGTGTAGGACTTCCAAGACACGCACCGCAGCCCCATAGACAGTAATGTACTGTCCCTTGCGATACCTTTTGACCTCATCGATAACGTCACCGGCATGGTACACAATAGAGTGATTTTGCAAGCGTGAATTTCATGAATGGAGCAAGTAGTCACATGTCGCATGCGCCCGTCGGATGAATTCCACCGAAAAAATGTACGATGGGACCCCCTCAATCCTGAACCGTTTTTCCGGGTCGCCACTCATTTTTTTACTTGCGCTGAGTATAGGCGAGGAGGCTCCACAGACGACGAAGAAGGCGTTTCGCTTCACCGTGGCCTCGGACGTGGATCTCCTCAAAGAAGTCATGTTTGTGAGCCCATACGATTGCCAGTACGGTCAGATCGCAAAGCGCTGGGAAGATGACGACCCTGAAGAAAGCGACAGCGCGGCAACGCCGTCCAAGAAGGTCAAGAAAGAAGGCCGCGGGGCGATCAAGGACGTGGCGTCTGTTGTCGTTGACTTTACTTCTATCATAGAGTCTTCCAACAAGCTCAAGCAAGACGAGATTTCTGCGAAGAAGGAGGAAACCGCAGTGGCCCAGCGCCGACTTGAGCTTGATGAGCAGCGGTACCTGCTTGAAAAAGTAGAGCGCGAAGCACGGTGCCAGTTGGAGCGATCGGAGCGCGAGGTCCAGCTTGAATTCATGCGAAGCACCATCGAATTAACGAAGCACCATCGAATTGATGCGCTCGCTCGGAAACAAGATTAAGCCAACTCAATCGATTCTTGTTTGGCGGGATCTCCGTAGATAACGTATCGGGTGTCGCCTACACGTAGCTTGTTTTGGAGCTTTTCGACTAGCTTGCTCTGTGCTAGTAAGCACGGTGCCATCAATGAAGCCGATGCAAGTTGTAAGGGGAGCACCTTGAGCATGGATAGCGGCCGAACAGTGTTGCATCCAGTCGGCGTCAAGTCGAGCTTCGTCCCACTCGAGCAAGTGATGGAAGCAGTCGTACACGTGCATCATTACGTGGTTGCTGATCGCGGACAAGGCCTCGCGGCTGCGTCCAAACGTCTCGAC